ATCCTTTATCTATATCCACGATATTTCGGTACACAAGTCAAGGAAAATCAAAAAATAATTTGACAGAAAATTCCGAATTTTTTTGGCTTCTTCCAGGTTTTTTTCCAGCTGTATATTATCGCCTTTAGGGTGTCCCAAAGTGCTTTTCGACGATATTCAAAAATCAAAAGGCGTTATAGCGATGGCAATTGGAGTTCGGAAGCTCGATTAAGCCGACAGTCTTAAGAACAGCAAGGAGTGCTTATACTAATATGATGCCAGTGATGATGAAAAGGGAGACGAATCATAAACCGGCCTGCTCAGGTAGAATGAAAGGACTGCTGTAGGAGGACCTGTAGCCCTAGCCATTCGATGAGGCGTCACTAAAAATGCTCACGAAAGCGCGCTTTTCCTTATCACCATGCATGTTGAAATTAGATGGAGTCTATTTTGGCCGGAGATAGCGTTCACGTTCTGGTGCTTCCGAGAGTCACTACTACGCTAGCCGCTTGCACAGCGAAAATCCCAGTTGATAATAACTGAAAGTCTAGAATCTTTTGCTAAAAATTGTGCCCTTTCCTTATGCAAACCTATTTGTATGATACTCAATGTATCTCTCATGTTCTGTGAGATCCCGATGAGCTGGAAAGAATCTATTGTGACTGCCATCCCTAAGGTACCTGAGCCTAAGCATGTCTCTTCGTTTCGTCCTATAAGCATAACGGCACCCCCCGCTAAAGCTCTAGAGACGATTTTGCGTGACAAAATTGTATCCCATTTGATGAAGAACAATCTGGTTCCCGCAGAGCAACATGGGTTTATTAGTGGTGCTTCCACAGGTACCCTTATGGCAGACTGTCTGTTCGATTGGAATTTAGCTATTAACAAGGGGAAGGGTGTGGACGTTATTTATTTCGACTTGTCCAAAGCGTTCGATAAAGTAAATCATGAAAAGCTCCAATACAAATTGTGGCAATTGGGTATCGAAGGCCCCATCCTTAGCTGGATCAGCTGTTATCTGAAGAATAGACACATGTTTGTCAAAGTGGGTGATACTTTTTCACAGAGTTTCCCCTGCACTAGTGGAGTTCCACAAGGTGGTGTCTTGTCTCCTCTGCTGTTTCTGATGTACACCTACGACCTTCCAGCCTGCCTAAATACCCACCCATTGGTCAGCGTTAAAATGTACGCCGATGACATCAAAATATATGGTGTCTATGACAATTATAACCATGACTGCGTTCACCGAGCGTTAACCCAATCTGTATGTAACATGATGGGGTGGGCTACTGCTTGGGGTATACCAGTTAATTTTATG